CGTATTATATATTATTTATATATACATATTATACAGTAATCAGCAAGATAGATATTTAAATATATAAATATAAAAAATAAAAATCAATATACTTAGCCCAGTATTCATAGTCGGTTCTTTAATATTCGAGACTTAAATTCTATCTTAAGTTCTGTTTTGAGATATCACGAACCAATCAGAAGGCCACATTCGCGTCTTAAGACATTACTTAAATCGGTTTTGAAATAAGAACTGACTATGAATACCGGCCTTAGACTCAAAATTTTAAAACAAATTAAATGATATAAAAGCTATAAATCAATGCAGGATGTTAAGTGTTAACAAATGAATGAACTCTCATACGTACTTTTGTAATTTTTCGAACTTTTTTATTTATATAATTTTCTGTTACTGGAGGATGACTTAATGAGAGTCGAAACGTTTAACTTTGTATTTAAATTATTATAAGATTAAAATTTATTTGTTAGCATTTAACATTCTGCATTGATTCATAGCCTTTATCACTTAATTTGTTTTAATATAGATATTTGTTTTGATGATATTGAAATTATTGAAAGTCATTTTCGCTAATTGCCATTTTTCGTCAATTGTAAATAATTGTATATAATACATATATATTATTTGATCAAATAAAGTTTAAACAAAAGTTATTAGAAATGGCTCGTTAACATAAAACATAAATAAAAAAGAGCATATAATCATATACGCAAGATGTTTACACACAAGTCATATATTTAATTACATGTATGTGACTGTATATTCCTTATTTATGTTTTATATTTGTTTTATATTGTTTTGTGAATCATTGTAATTATGATTATTTATATATTCAAGCACATACATTTTTTTATTCGATGTTTGTATCTAATATTAAATGATTTAATGACGTTATTGTATGCAATAAGCAATTGTCAATCAAAAAAACATATAGTTTAACAATTCAAAAGTTGTTAATTCGCTTTATATGATAATAGGTTCAGTAATCCTTTTCACCTAAAAAACTTAATAACTTAAACTTAAGTAATGTTGAGATTGTATGTATACGAAAATGCCGTGTCCAGTTGTTTGTTTCGTTGCACTAATAAAAGTCGTCCCCTCAATGATTTATGTTGCAGATTGTATAAGATTTTGTGCATATAAAATTTTAATTTCTTTTTACGTTTTTTTGACACTAATTCCAATAAATAAAGATTTTAAAATAAATTTTCCGTGTTTTATATCATTTTTTTCACTTATGTAATTGCAAATAAAATCAGTATTTATGGAAATGTATGGAAATTAGCCATATCCCTGGTGAACATTTTTTAAATAATTTTTATACGAATTAGAACATTTCAGAAATACTCAGAAATATTCAGAAAATTCTTCTCTTAGAATTTTTTATACATGTGAATTCTGAATATTCTGAGATTTTTCTTATTCCATAATTTAAAAAAAATATTAAAAAATTTTTTAGATTTTATAACATTTTATCAGAAATTATATTTACAAAAAAATTTTAGAAATCTTACGATATTTTCCTAATTAAGTATATAAAAAATTCTGAGAAAAGATTTTCTGAGAAGTGTTCCAATTCGTATAAAAAAATTATATAATTATATAGAATTTTGAAAAATTATATGAAAAATTCTGAGAAAAATTTTCAGGGATATAATTCATGAAATACTCGAAATTGAAGAAAAGACTCTTCCAAAAAGATCCGTTTTTTAGAAAACAAAAAAAATGTTCATTTTGTCATTAGTCAAATGATAACAAAACTTTGTATTGTGCCTTATATGCAAATTGGTAGCGAAGAGCATGGTATATTTATTATATAGGCTATATCGTTATAATATTTTTATTTTAGAATCATTGTGGATAAAATAAAAATAATTTAATAATTAATTAGCTATAAAAATGGTTCTATTGTTTTTTCGCGAAAAAAACATGATTTTTTACTCAAAAAAATCTTCATAATTCCATGTGTTTAACTTTTTAAAACCAACATCATTAATATATTATACAATTTTTTTCTAAAGTATGTACTGATTTACTGATATTAACATATCCTCAAGTATTGTGATTTAAAAGGATTTTTTCATTTATTCATATAAAATTAAATTACGAATTTGTAATTGATATCACGCTTTTTCGAAACTGTTATACTGTATATTATTATATAACTGTATATTGTTATATACTGTTAACTGTTATATTTAAATTTATAAAAAATAAATAAAAAATAAATAAATTCTTAGAGTAAAAATTTATGTAAAGATTTCATAAGTATATAAGAATTGTTTCAAATTTTTATGTAATTTGGAACAACACAAATATCTGCTATAGACCTCAATCTTGCAAACTATGATCAAAAAGTACATTTGCCAATGGAGGATTAAAAATTAATAACTTTATTTGTTGTGAATTAATTTGGAGTACTACAGAAATATACGTTATAGCAAATTCGATTGGATGCACTTTAGTGCGCACTAAGACAGTAGATATGTAGGCATTCTCATCCGCCATTTTGGTTCGACTTGATTGTATAGTACGACTAATGACAAAGGTAAATGTTAATTAAGAAGACCCCGCTCATTTCAAATTTTGATAAAAACACTGAATAGATGTCTTGATATTAATTGAGATATTAATCCTAGGGTGAAAATCTATAGCGCATGTAACGTATACTTATAGTATAGTTGCTACACTGGCAGTGAATATCGACGCATCTCTAGTCGATGACTATTCGAGTTAGAAAATATATCACAGCAGTGTTTCACTGCTTTAAAAACACAATTTAAATTCACAATTCACTGCTCTTTTAAAAAGTACAAATTCACTATTTTAGGAGAGAATTTATGTTTTTAAAGCAATAAACACTGTTTTTTGATTTATCTGACACAATGTTGTGTGTATCGGATATCCCTGATTTGCGTGTTTTGTATTCTGTCTCTCAAAGTATATTCTGTAATAGTTCTTAATATTAGATGGTTTGAATACACACACACACACACACACACACACACACACACACACACACACACACACACACACATATATA